GTTTTTAACTACTGTAATATCTTTAGTTATGGTCCAGGACAAGGGTTTTTACAGACACCGTCCACATTCTACATAATTTAAAATCAAAAATATTAATCAAATATCATGAAAGAATACATTGTTATGCTGACACTGCTCAGGTGTGTTTTTCCAGTTAGTTGAAGAAATAATATTTTGTGTATATTTTACTCAAATTCCATACTTTATCCTGCAGACATGTTTTGTCCCTCATTTCACACATCTGATACATTTATATATTTTATCTAATTTATATAAACACAGACATGTTATGCAAGACAGTAATCAAAATACAGTACCTTGCCAAAAAGCAATGTGATTTTTTCTGATGTGCCGTAGTGGGGGGAAATCCTGTGAATAATCTTCATGGCAAAAATCAAACGTGGAATTGCACCAACCATTGACACCTAGAAAACAAAAAAATGTTGTTTATTGTAACAAATGAACAAGATTCTACAAAAGGTGAAGTGTACATTTTGATTATTTTACAATACAACAGACAGTGTTTAGTTTTTTTTTTTTTTTTTTTTCCACTTACAGGGTCATTTTTGTAGAGATGATCACAGTGCTTCTCCAGGCTGGNAAGCTGCACCGGACTATAAGCTGCATGGTTCAAAGTTCAGGAAAAAAGTCGTGGCTTATAGTCCGAAAAATAAGGTAATCTTCACTCAAACAAGTGTGTAAACAGATTAAACATCACTCTAATAACAAGAGCAAAAAATAAATAGCAAGAATTAGTCAGTTATTTAAATTGATAGCTACCTTTCTTACTGCTGCATTTTCTGAGCATCATGTGGAGATTAGTCTCTCGCTCCTGCAAGGAGCATTTTTTTATCGCTGCGCTCTCCTTTCTTCTGTCAATCAATCCCAGAGCTAATCCACGGGATGTCAAAACTGTAAGTGTGCTGTCCTCGCTTCTGCCAGCTTAGAACCACCGACCGGACCAGAGAGGAGGTTCTGAAACAGCGYRGCTGTGTGCGGTCACTGGACCGAGGCTGAACCGAGCCGAACCACAAAGCTGGGTGGAGAGTAGTTGTAGCTCCAGTTTAAAACGTTCATGGTTCTGTGTTCCCCCTTGGAAAACTTATGCATGACAACTTTGCACTTAGCTGCAACTCTGTTTCTGATGAAAATAAAAAGTTCTGCCGACATTCTTGCTAACTTGTTAGCGCAGTATGTTGTTGTGATCATGTGAGCTCTGCATGCTGGATCCAAGCACTGCTGGATAGAAACACTGGAGCGGAGTCAGTGAACTGCTGGATTGAACTGCTAATATCGAAGCGCTTATATTGGATATTTTTTATGCAGGCTGATAAAATGCAATACTCATTTTTTGGCTGATATTGGACCGATATCCAATATCAATATCGGATCGGGATACCCCTAGTTTACTCCACCCCCACCYCCCGGTCTCCTCAGCAGAAGTCTCTAGTATGTCCAAAGCACGGTGACTCTTTTTAGTCCATGGGCTAGGGTGGCTCACCGTGTGCACCCCCCCCACACACACACACACACACTGAACTTCTAGGGTCCACTCTTTCAAAAAATGCATGTAAACAGAAAAAAAGTTGGGTCTCACTGCCCCCCAGGGACCGCTTTTTGACCACACCCCGGGACTCTATGTTAACTACATAGCGCCATCCTCATTCATGAYTTTCTGAACCCCACCCCTAAACACTGACCAAGGACTTTGTGAAAACTATACCCTTTTCACTGACATAGCCTTGAAAACACACTCCTTTTTACTGACTACCTGAAAAAGTTACCCTTTTTTCACAGATGAACTGTAAGAAAACTCCTCTTCAATTATCACACACATTTTGCATTGCATTAAAGTTTCCATTCCTTATTTTACACATTTTTTCAATGACTAAAGGGTTATATTATGACCTATGCTGTAACTGAGACAAGACTTATAAGAAACATCCATCCGTCCATTCGTCCGTCCATCCRTCCATCCGTCCGTCCATCCATCCATCTTGTACTGCTTTATCTGCATGAAAAGAAAATCTGTAATAATGAAGATTATAAACAGCTCATTAACACTGGAAAAGAAGTCAGATGTCTAATTC